CACAAAAGGTCGAAATACTGTTAACATGCAATACATACATATAACCAGAAGGACCGGTGCTTTAAGCACAACCCTGTTATTTTTACATATATATATATACAAAATGTTACCCTATCTACTTGCACTTAGATGGCCCGGAGGAAAGTCTGAGGGCTTTAAATGCTAAAATTCAGGTTTTGATACAACATATATAGTCCATAGTGTAGCTTTGTGCTTAATAACAAACAAAACATTATCTACTTAAAACTGGAATATCTATTTGTAAAATTAAATAACCTACTTAACATAAATATTGTAATCAAATGACGCCGTAAAAGTTTGTCAAATATCTTGTAGCTATTATTTCTATTTACATCTTTATACTGAACTGCTAAATCTCTCAAATTCAATGAATACAAGTATTCATGCAAGAATTATACACCTACGACTTTGAAATTCGTTATAAATAATACTGCCTTTATTCATCTTTCATACAATTTTAAGTTATTTGGTGTTCCGATGCGCTGCTTAGTTTAGTAAATAAAACCACTTGATTCCCGCCTTTTGCGTTTGGAGAATACTAAGTCATTAATGGCGAACACGAGGTTAGAACAGATACTAACACTAAAAACATTAATATACCACAAAAAAAAACGGTTCTTTAGAAATTGTAGTTACCCGGTGGAATTATTAGTTCAACAAAACTTATAGGATCATAAGTACTTGTTGACTTTGCCAAGATTAACGGTTCTATTTTTAACGCCGTACACTTCAACCGAGACAACGTTCACTTACGATCTCAAGAGATTTGAAAGGACAAAATGACAGACACCTAGTGGCGTTATTATGAAATGATTTATGACTGCTAAACGACTGAGTTTCCGACTACCAGCCTAATTTAAAATGGAGTTGCGGTGTTTGCTTCGGCTTCCAATTTGATTTTTTTTCTTGAATACATAAAACAGAATTATGTATTTTTAACTTGCGTTTGCTTGCAGAAGATATTGCGTTACAGAAAAATAATTGTAATAAATTATACGTAATTAACAAAAAAAAATATTGGTGCTGTTAAACATGTATTTAAATAACATACTGCCTTCAATTTACACACAGTTTAACGAGATTTTATGTAAAGTACTGACGAGCTGTTTTTGAAACTTAACATAAGCAGTATTACACAGTAAACACTCCGGGTTTGTTAATATTACGTTGTATCACAAATATATCCGTTATCTTGGAAGTATTATGACCGTTTTCAATACCTGCTCACTATAAACAATTATGGGAGCATTTCTACTT